AAAAGGCTTGGTCAAAAGGCAAGAAGTTGTAAGCAACTTTCTCGTTCAGTAGAATAAAGTGTCAGTAATGCCACACAACCCGTTTTATAACATAACTCTTACTGATGATTCAAACAGAGATCGTGACCACTTAAGCTTATACACTTCTCTGAACACATAAGGAAGTTATAAGCTGTCTACCCCCACAAGAAAAAAAACCTACTAGCATGACAACAGCAGAGGGAAAGGAGTATTACAAAGATTGTCAAACATTATTTCCCATAAAACATTTTGTTATTGCACATTTCAGTACTGACAGTGGAATACTTTCACTTTAGTTTTGAAAACTCGTAACATGACAACAGGTGATGACAATCCAATAAAACACACAGTTTCCAAACAAGCTCCTGCCTCACACAGCCTCAGCAAACATCTCAACTGCAGCACGACATGGACTATTTTTATTCTGCATATTTAGACTGTATTTGCAAACTGTATAGCAAATTCTTGGGGTGAGGGAGAAATAAACATTCACTGATCACTTGCAATCACAGACCGAGAAACAGATTAATTGTTGAAAAAACATTTACTCCAGTCGCTGAACGTTAAAGTTAAATGGAACGTGGAAAAGTGAAAGGGAAAGGTTTTTAACCTGCTGGGAATGAAAAACTTCAAGTCATGGAGGCAGGTGACTGGAAGACTTCATAGAAAGTTTTATAACATTTTTTGCAACTAATTCCAACAAACTGCTGCTGTCAGTAGCAGTACGCAAACCAATTACTTTATAGCCAGCACAGGTAACGCCGCTGCTGTGACTGCAGTGCAGACAGAAGCCGAGATAATGAGAGAGATATGCAAGCCACCACATTAGTTGTGACAAACTATTTCCTCTCATGTTTTTGTTTGAGGTGTTGCTACCTATACTGTCCTCACAATATGCCGAAGCACAAATAGAATTTTAAGCTTTCACAGTTTAGGCTTCTACTAAGTTTTAGAAGTGCCTTGGCCTCTTGCTGTGAGGCAACCAAGGTATCAGTTGCAACTGCTTCTGAATTGCAGATAGCTTTCCACTTAGAAATGCCTTAATCAAATGTGTAACATCAATACATGCTAGCTAGTCCAAGTACTAGCAGATGATCTATGTGGACATATTCTCTGCCCAGCAACATTGGTGTTGCCTGGCCCTCTAAAGATACCACTATCAAGAAAAGAATGATTTTTTTTCACTTAAAATCTAAAGAAAGAATTGCTGTCTTACAGAATTAGAGATTAACCTAACCTATTTCTTCTCAAATTTAGCTTAATTTTAGCCTCTATCACTATCTAATTTTCTCTTTTTTTTTTTCCCTGGGTGTAGGAGGAAATCCTACCCCCTGCTGACAAAAGAGATGGTAGGAGGTAGCAAGACAAGCTCTTCATTATAAAGCAAGAATTTTAGAGAATCTGAATAAGGAGAGAAATACCCACACACTCCCTCAGTGGCAATGAGGATGAAAATACATTTTGGACTCCCCAAGAACTCTAACTACACTCCCAGAATGATGCTTCTGCCGTCACGTATCTCACATGCTGGAAATCTGGATAAGAAAGCACAAATGCTTGTACGTGTATTCAGAGCGTGATTTCCAGACTCATACCAATTAGTTCCTTCCCTTCTGTTTCCTATCACTTGAATAAAAACATTGGGAAAGATCCAAATAATGACATTTTGACAGCAAAAAAGCAAAGGCATTCAAACATTACCGAGGCAAACCCGAAACAAACCACGCATGGAGGTACCTCTTTTCCCAATCCCTAAGTCCCCATGAAATGCTTCCATGAACTCTAACCATCCCCTTAACAAAGTTCATAGGGTTTCCACATGCAACATAAATTCTGTAGGTACAGATCAACTACCTTCCCAAGAATCAGTCTGTACCTGGAATAAGCTTGAAGAACTTTATGAAGTGTTAGACACTACAAAAAAAAATACTGAACATGCAAACATAACTGTATGCAGCTTGCCTGCCTACACACATGCAAGATCTTAGACTCATGTAGAGAACAGGACTCATGACGATACATTTATACCACACCTGATAAAACAATACCTGAAAAGCACCTTCTCCCTTCAGTAGGGAACAAACTAACATATTTGCACATTTAACTTCTGAGCTGAAGTAACTAAATATACAACTACCCAACAACCTGCTAGAAAAAGCTCTAAATTTTGAATTTGAAAGATTTTAAAATTAGCATTAAATTTACTATTTGCCCCATATTAGACCATCCGAGGGGAAAAAAAAAATGCAGAGTTCACATGCTGAATGTCAGACACACACACGCACAGAGTCAGGATGCCCTAGGGATGAGACTGACTGATCTAGATGAGCTGTCCTTTTTCCCATGTCCATCTCCCACACATCTTGATCACTCTAACAAGACTCCACAATAAAAATCTCTTATCATCCCATTAAAGAATCTCCTATCTACAGGGTTAATAAAATTAACATTGATTTGTTTTTTCAAGTATATATTTATCATTAAATTTGTATGTTAAACATTCAAATCGGATTTACAAAGCAAAGAAGGGTTGGGACCAACGCTTTTTAAGCCTATTATTGCTACACATACTCTCCGCATGTTGCACAAATCTATTACAACACAGTTACATAAACTAGGTATCCTGCTTCTTTCCAGACTAGGTTTGCCCTTGCTTACCATTCAGACATGACCACATAAGAGACAAGTAAGAAAGCCAAGCAGAAGATACTTTTAGTTGATTAGAAATTTCAATATAAAGAAAATTAACCTTTTAAAAGCTCATGTATCCCAGCAAGATGATGCAAAATATCCAAATATAGCAGGTCAGACTAAACTCTTATTTGGTAGAAGGAACACAGCTTTTGGGAGAAAAACCAAACTGGAATCTAAAGACTATTAAACTAAGCTACATATATGTGGCATCCCAATGCAGTTAGTATAAGCAGAGGCCAAGCACGCTTTTTAAGCCAAATCTGATTATTTCTGAACACTTCAAATATACTCTACATCTTGTACCACCTCTTTAAAATACACATTATTATATTTTCTTCACAGTAATACAGAGCAAACTGAACATCAAAAAAATAAGGGGAGACAAAGAATCAAAATCCAGATACTGCCTTTCATACTAGCAAGAAACCTTGCTAAACTTTCCATTCTCAGGCGTAGCAAAAACACATCCAGCTGTAAGCGTCATGCTGAACCCCTCATACCCAAAAGACACTCAGTCTCCACAATAAAATAAAAGCAAGAATAAGGATCGAAGTCTTTCTGCTACTATCAAAACAGTATTATTCTATCTACCGCTCAACAAATTTCTTCTGGAACTTCATTTCTACTGCAGTTCACGTTTTGCAAACCACCAGCAAAAATTCTTATTGCATGTATTTTCTTAAGACAGCCCAATAAGCTCAAAAAGCAGCTTGTTTTGTTATGACTTACAGGATTGACATAATTTGTTTCACAATTTATTATGATACTTGAGAAATTGTTCAAAATGTTTTAATTATGCATCACCCTAACTGGCATTTAGTAAAACACAATGAGGATATGAGGAGTAAGTGTAGAATAAATGTTTCTTATTAATTAGGCTTGTAACGAACAGGTTTCATGTGATCACTTAATTTATGACCAGTGTCAAAGTATCCTCTGTGAGAATTACCTAATTTAGTCACCTAGTCAACTGAAAGACCTAACCATCTCCCTTCGTTATGTAAACACTACACATACTTTGCAGAGCATCTTGGAGGACAAATTGAAAACATGCAGTTTTTTGGAATGTACATGTTGGATGAGCAGCAGTTCAACACATTAATGTTTAGGTCAACAAGCATATACAGCAGATAGCTTCACAGCAAATAACTGACATAAGAGAAAGAGATGACTAATCATGAACTCCTCTAAACGGCATTAAATTAAGCTACAACCCAGAGAGAAAAGCACTGCACACTTATCACCCTGTTTGCAGTCCTATTGTGGCAACCCTCCTTTGGTGAAGTCTGCAGAGCAGGAAAGCTGCACTGGAGCACCAGGCGATGGAAAGGGCCATCCTTCTACTCCAGCCTCATGACCACCACATCGCATGGAAAACACAGTGTGGGGACAAGGCTAAAGCAAGTGGAGTTAGTGTTATGCATGGCCATTTCCAGTTTACTTTTTCAAAAGTCTACCTTTATTTTCAACCTTGTGTACAGTGCAACAGGGGAGAAAAAAAGAATTTACCCAAGTTGGTTCGGCTTCAGAACAGCCTGGTACTGAACACACACAAATCTGTCCTGACTTTCTATATAAAAGACATTTACCAGTGCCACCAGAGCTGGCTTACAAACAGTTTTTCCGTTGGATTTGTAGAATAGCAGGGGATAATGCCAGGCACAAATCCTCAGTTCAAGAACCCTTTTTAGAGTATCAAAGCAAAGTTTTTTGTTTGTGCCTCACATTACAACTTTATGAACTAAAAATAAATCTCTGAAAAACACACAGATTTACTAGCTTTTATATGGACAGGTAGAGCTAACTAAGGAAATATCTTACCACAAAAGGATCCCATCCATATTGGTATATAATCTAGTCAGTAATGACTTTTGGAGGTGACAGTAAAGACATATTCACTTCAAAGCTTTTTTACTCTTAAACCACAACTTCTTTTTATCCTTAAAACTGGTATGGTACAAACAGGTGAAATATTTACCCTGCAAATGAATGTTCATTCCCCTGCAGCTCACAATATATTCAACCTAATCTCTTCCCTAGAGACAGAAACCTTTACCTTGGTACCAACATTAAGTTTTTATAGAGTGTAAGTCTGCTGACTAGGAAGACCAAATGACCAAGGTAGTGAGAATACAGACAGGAACAGGAACACAGGAATTTAACAAATATTGCTCTTAGAAAAAAGAGGATTAATGCAGCAATTTAAGATGCTTTTCTGAGCTTTGAGGTAGCAAGCGAGTTTTATCATTAAAGAATGCACCCGCTAGAGCCACAGAAGGGGCACGATGGCGGCCACATCACTCTCCCCGGCACAGCCAGGCTATGAAGAGCCTGGTCCCCGCCATGCCCTGACCCCTGTCAGCCTTACACCCCCTGGGACAGGAACGCCACTCCCAGCTACCTGTAATTCTAGAGAGGCACAACCGTCTGTAAAAAAGCCTCAAACTTTCAAATTATTTATGTTGATCTGGTTGTATAAATAAAAACACCTTGAAGCTATTGCTATTTTCATTAAACATTCCTAAATTACAGTGCATCATTTTGATAAACAGCACATCATGTGCTACAGATCAGGTTAATTTTAGCATTGGACACCATTTCATACAAAGAAATTTCACTTCCCCCTTTAAAATAAACAATTAACTTTGAATAATTACAAAGAGCTGTTAAAAAGCAACTTTCTCTTTTAACCCTACTAAATAATTAATACTGCTGTTTTGAGATAGGATGTCTAAATTTGAGAGACGGTTTCACTATCAAAAAAGAACAGTATTTTTAATTGATTTAGTGCTTGTATTAAACTTCTACTTTAGCATGACAAAGACTTGAGTATTCTTTATTCACACAGAGGATTGTTTCAAAAAGTGGTCCGTGTACAGCCCATGCAGTCGAGAATGTAAACACATAGATATTGCTGATGACAGCATTTAGGTCTTAAGAGAATTCATTTACTCTCTCAAGTGCTGCTAGACAGTTCTGTGTAACGAGCAGTGAAAATACTGAATGAAGTATTTATGATTTACACAGTATAAATCATATTGTGATATGCCAGACATGCATTTATAACATGCCCAATGTACATTAACTAATCATGAAGTGCACAACAAAGGTAACTGCTGAAATGGCTTACAGAACATGCACTTGCATGTGTGAAGAAAATGTGGATACACGTCTTTACATCTCATTTGATATATATAAATTCCCCCCAGCCATAAAATTGCAATTTTAATCTCCTCCTCTCAATATATGCGAATGTTTCACTAAAAAAATACCTGAAACTTTTGTTGCATCTTCCAAGTAAAAATGGTTCCAAGTACATCATAAGCAGGATTTTCAATAGTGCAAAACCCAAACTAAATCTAAAAATAGGTCACATTTATTAAAGTTACTTCCAGATCTCTAAAACAAAATATACAAAGGCCTATGGTACAGAAAGCCTACTAATGCTTATTATAATCCTAAATACCTTCTGTTTTCTACAAGGTCATAACATCCTTCTATCTATCAGCTGCCTTTCTATTTTCTATGAATTTAATTAACATTTAATATAGATAATGTTTTCTCTTTTTGTTTGTTTGAATTTAGAGTTAGATTGCACATGATTTTAAAAACAAAATTCAACATTTAAAAAGAGGTCAATATAATAGATAGGCTGTCTCTAAGTGCCTCAAAATGGCACAGAATTAAATCATTCTACAGGGCAATCTTCTATTGTTTTCAAACATAGCTTCCCCATTGTAGGAAATTATGCAAGGTGGAAGAAATACACATAATCAACTTTAAACTTAGTTTAAAATACTTGAACTTATTTTATTTTAAACTTAGTTTAAAAGTTTAAACTTAGTTTAAACTTAGTTTAAATTTACTTAAAGTTAACTTTAACTGAAGTTTAAACTTAGTTTAAAATTTTAAACTTAGTTTAAAATACATAATTTCTCAGATGAAGACTCCAGCCTTCATCCATACTATTAAAAGCATACACACCAGCAGAGTTCCAAACAGGTTCTATGAAAAAAATTAAAGCCTGTATTATACATAGTGTTATACTGTAGAAAAATTTATAGCCCTAAATATTGTGTTATTGCATACTGAAACATCAGTATCCTTTTAAAATGAATCATTTAAAATAAACCAAACAAAAAATTAAGCCAGCAAAGTTGCAGATCAGAAGCTACAAGTTTCAATCATTATTACAGCAATACAAATTCTTACAGCTAATCTCATGGAATTATTTGAATAATAAATTACTGCACCACATATGTAGGAAAGACAGAAAAGAGCGAGGAAAACCTGGGCTGAGAATAAGATCCTATGACTAACTTTGCCACTCAGTGATCTTGGATGCTTGAAGTAACACCAAAAACATCAGCTTTGCCATCTGATGAGCAAGGCAGATGAAAATTATTCTAAGAGCTCTTAAAGAAAAAACGGATCTAAAATTCAATTTAAAAAAAAAATATCTAAAATTCAAATTCAAATATTAGTAATTTCTGGTAGCATCCAAACTACTAAAAAAGACAAGGACAAAAAACAGATAAGCTGCAAAGATTTAAGCGTAAAAAAAAAGTCCAACAACAACACAGCATGACTTTTGTGATGTTCCCTACTGACATTTTTAGGAAACACAGCACTTCCCAAAATACTGATGGACAAAAAGGTAAAACTATACTGGAAATTAAGGAGAAAAGCTGCTTTTTGCCTTTAGGAAGTTTAAACCTTATTAATGGAATTCCCAGTATTTAACTTTCATACACTTCAGGCTTCAAGGTATAAAATAAAATAAAAAAAAAAATAAAAAAAAGAAGGCATTTCATAGCACAATTCTGAAACCAGCACTCCATTCATGGGTACAGAGGCGCAGAAGTGAACAGTGTGCTACTGAAGGGCTGGTCAACGAAAAATTGTGTCAGAACCACAGGTAAGATTAAACTAGTATCCCTACAAGACAACGTGTTAGGACACCTGAAACGTTTCTTAGCTTCAATTCAATCTCCTCTGTCATAAAACTTCAGATGCTGCACAGTGTGTGTTTGAGAGCAACGAACAGCACCATCCAGTAATCACCTCTAGCTGTTCTACAACATTATATTATTCAATCTACAGTGTTTCATGACTGGAATTTAAAAAAAAAAAAAAAATGGATACCTGGATACATCCCTATGGCCTACTGAAGTTCAGAACGTTTAATTATCCTTAGAACACATGACCCGTATGCATCATGAATAATACTGTATGCAGCATCTCTCAAAGAAAACCTACAGTACAGGGATCTAAGAGCAGATTTACATATGCTGTGTTTCACTACATAAACACAGATGTCTGACTTTTTAGATCAAAATACTGTTGATAGCACAGACAGCAAAGCCCTAAGACAACCCCTAGGCCTTTCTCTGGCTTAAAAACAAAACAAAACAAAACAGAAAAATCACGAGATTCCCAGTGTTTCACAAGAATGCCCTCCAGTAATACCTGATTCTGGATGCAGCATGCCAGAATGCCATGCCCTGCCTGTAAAGCTCTCCTCTTGTCCTAGCTATGCACTCCTTCTCTCACTTCTGACACCTGAATTCATCCCCTTGGCTACCCCACAAAACCACTGCTAACCCTAAGGTTTGATTCAAAAATACAGCAAAGCTACTCAACCGAGGAGGGGAAAGGGACATTATTAAAAACAAAAGTTCACCTCTGTGCTGTAAAACAGAGTGCAGCTTCTCTGTATTTCAGACTTCTTAATCAAAAAGCTTCCTAGACTTTATGATAGAGAGCCATGATAACTCAATCCAACTGGAATAATAGTACTACCTAGCAGAAAAAGCAAAGCTTGTGCACACTGTGGAAGGAGCTTTGTCAGGAGTTAAACAAGATGAAAGGACGATCATAAACGTCTCCTACTTTTGCACAAAACGGAACATGTTATTCTTCCAAAGCCTCTTAGGATCATAGAGAGACAAATATTTTTAAATTAGAACATACCACAAATAACGTGGCAACTACCACAAATAACTTTGAAAGGATATTAACTCACATAATTTTCTTTATCCCTTTTAAACCTCTGAATACAAGGGAAAAAAATTCTATTATGTCAGTAGGATCCACTAACAGTTAAATGTATTACCTTTGGGGTGTGGCTCTTCTCATAAAAGTGACTATACAGAAAAGGAATTTTCTCTGTCAACAATTTTGCTTCCTGTGCTTTATCAGAGGTTTGAGGGGTTTTTCCCTCCTTAAGTGACAAAGACTTTTTTTTTTTTTAATAGTCTACCACTGGAAGCTCTGTATACTCAATGTAGTTAAGAGAGAACATTCCCTGTAGAAGACAGTCAACAGGACTGCTTTCCAAATCTGTGCTTCAGGCCTTTCTGGAAGCAGTGAGGTTACGTATGTGTTAGTTCTGTCTGACATACAACTGGAAAAGGCACCAGTGCAATTACCTAGACTGAGACGTAAAGCATTAATGTAGGTTAAAGAGTCTAGGATAGATTAATTTACATTGGTATAAAAAGACTGAGAGCAAGATACCACTTAGCCATAGAAAAGGGAAAGCTATCCTATTGTGCTAGTATAAAGCTGGCTTACCAGTGTTTTTTTATAGATACACCATCTTCCCCTTCTCCTCCAGTTGTTTCTTAGAAATGTTTACCAGAATCTATACCACTAGGTTTTCAGACACTGTCGGGGTGTTATTTCTGTTAACACGTCTCTGCAGCCGATACTGTTAAGGCTGATTTTCAAGACATCCTCAGCACTTGCACCGTGAAGATTAGTATCTTAAAGAAGCCTCAAGTTAAGCAATCAAAAATTGACATAACCGTCCCTACATACTTCTTTAGCTAGTGATGCACTACTTTCCATGAAAACTGGCCAATGTCACTAAACAAAACCTGTTGCAGTTATATTCTAAAATAACATCTTCAACAAGTTATCTAAACTAGCATGAAACTTGGCAAATAATGTCAACCAGCCCAAGGAAATAATTCTCAATATACAAGTAAAACAGAGATTTCGCATCCTATCTTCCAAGCAAAAACAAAAAACAAACTCTGAATTAAGATACAATTTCAGTTACCAAGAGCAGATATGACAATCCAATCATGTAAAGATGCAAATTTACAACTAAATTTATGCAGTGTAATGTCATTAAAAAGTCAATAACGAACATCAACCGCAGGTGTAGTATATGCTTAAATCTTCACTACACTTATTTTATCGTGCAGCATATACATTCTAAAAACCAGGTACTCCTACTACAAAAAAAAGATCATTTTTATTTGTCCTTGCAACCCTAGTTTCTGAAATTGCTACGAGACATAAAATGAAAACAGATCATTCAGCAATCTATTTCAATATTAAAATATACTACCACTACTACTCACATGACTGGAATTTTAGTTCATGCTAAGCACCTGCAAGCAGAAGTGAAGAATAAAGA